TGACAATTTTTGTCCAGTCATGTTCGACTCTAGGGGGCGGTGCTCATCCCTCTTTATTTACTTGTATTTGCATGCTTTCGAACCGCTAGGTTGGCGGGAGCTGGGACAAGCGACGGGAGCTCACTCCGTCGCGTGGATTCGATCTTACGACTGCTTGGTCTTCTGACCCTGCAGCACAGAGGCTTCTGCGGTTTAGCCCATAGCACCACCACGTCCCTTCAAACTGAATTACAATCCAAGTATTCATTCCAGCCTGTCAAGGCCATGCAGGGACACAGGATGGAAAGTCTGGTGGAGTCCACAAAGGCGCACATTCCTGTACAGAAGGTATCCATGCTGTTGCCTTGTCCCTCCTTTTCTGGGGGCTATTCTATTATGTAAGATAGCTAGCATGGTACGGTGTACTGACTGATGGACTAGGACCGAGGAGGTCTGGGTTCGAATCTCTAGCCATGGAAAATCACTGGGGGCATAGAGCTGGTGGAACAACTTCTTAAATGTCTCACCTACCTTGAGAGCCCTACTAGGGTCGCTGTAGGTCAGTTCTGACTTGATGGCACACAACGACAACCATACTATTACACTAGAGTCCATGCTATATACGTAGGCTACACAGGCTTTGACCTCATAGAACATGAGAAACTGTGGTTTGTTCTGAAAGAAATAGGTGTGCCTGAGTACTTAGTGGTCCCTGATGTGTAGCCTGTATTTTGGACCAGAAGCTACTGTTAGGACAGACCATGGAGAGACAGAAGGGCTTCCTATAGGCAAACTTGTCAGGCAAGGGTTATTTTATCCCCTTATGTGTTCAATCTGTACACAGAACACCTATCAAGATTAGATTCAGATGAAGGAGGAGGTAAAAATTGGTGGAATCAATAATTTAAGACCTGCAGAGGACACCCTCTAGCTGGCAGAAAGCAGCCATGACTTGAAACGGCTTTTAGTGAAAGTGAAAGAAGGAAGTTCCGAAGCAGGAATGCAGTTGAACATTTAAAAGTTTAAAATCATGACTACAGAAGAAATACCCAACTTTAGCACAGACCATGAAGAGATGGAAATAGTTCGAGTGTTGGCATCTCTTGGTTCAATCATCAATCCACACGGAGACCAGACCATGAAGAGAGGGAAATAGTTCGAGTGTTTGCATCCCTTGGTTCAATCATCAATCCACACGGAGACTGCAGCCAAGAAATCAGAAGATTGGGCTGATATTGCATCGTGTCCATTGCACGGTGTAAGCGTAAAAAGAGAGCAATCTTTTTGAGGAAGCCAAGGAAGGACCAAAGGGAGTTTATTCCTAAAACTGGTTTGAAGTGTCTCCTTTCTCCATCTACTTGAAGATTCGTAAAACTGGTTTGAAGTGTGTCTCCTTTCTCCATCTACTTCAACCCTCCCTGCATTGAGAGGAGAGGATCTCCTTGGGGGAAGAAATGCCTGTTGCCGTAGAAGGTTCTAGTTCCTTAGCGGTAATTAGTAGTGATGTGCTGCCAGGGGAATTCTGGAAATTTTTTGTAATCCAAAAATACAAGCTTGCATGTTCTGAAAATCATCCACCACCTCAACTTGATGATTCACAGCCGAGAATCATCCACCACCTTATGCATCTTTCATTGGGCCCAGGGGACAAGTGCCTCTCTCCCAGACAGACGAACAAGGAGACATTCTAGTTCTGTAATTACGACCGCCAGGCATTTTTCCGTGCCAGAAACAAGAAATCCCCATAGGCAGACTGTCCTCCTAATTAACATGGAGAAATAATCTAGCACAGTGGTTTCCAGCCTTGGTTGACCCAGATGTTCTTGGACTGCAATTCCCAGAAGCTTTCGCCGCTCGCTGTGCTGCCCAGAAGGCATCTGGGAATTGCAGTCCAAGAACGCCGGGGTCAACCAAAGTTTGGAACCACCGCATTCGCAAGCTGTCCTGCCGGGCAAATCATGTGATAGATAACGTTGGCGGCGTCATAGAGTGTGGATGCAGGAGATGAGCGTCCCTGGTACCAAGCCCTGTGGGAACATTTAGTCAAAACCCACACTGGCAGAGAGGCAGAAAATGAAGCAAAGACATAGAGAAGCCTGGCAAGTAAATGCTGAGACATGCATTACACCCTGGGAAAAAGCCAGGCCTGATTTGGAAACAGCTGTCACCCGGCCAGGGCGAAGGAGCCTTCTTTGCAGCCCTCACCGGCTCCCCCCCCACACACATGTTGCTCAACAGTGCACAGATCTGAGATTTTTTAAATTCTCATCTTGACCTCTCCTGATAGGGCTTTGTTTAGCGCAAGCCCAGAGTTGACCATCCATATGCTTCTCCAGCTGACTTGTCCATCTGTTCCTTGTTCTACAAATAGTACTTCATAGTTGGCCTGCAGCACAGAAAACAGAGTGTACGAGCAAGTTCCAAACCAGAATTAAGGATCAGTGCCTGTTTCTCACATCTGGGAAGCAAACACTGCCTATTTTGTATTTGTGAAGGCTTTCACGGCCCGCTTCTCCAGATGACATGTCCATCTGTTCCTTGTTCTACAAATAGTACTTCATAGTTGGCCTGCAGCAGAGAAAACAGAGTGTACGAGCAGGTTCCAAACCCGAATTAATCACCAGTGCCTGGTTCTCACATCTGGGAAGCAAACACTGCCTATTTTGTATTTGTGAAGGCTCCTCTTTGTTGTTCTCCCCCGCCCCTGCAAATGCGCCGGCCACAGAGACTGGGGAAACGTTAGGAAGAACAACCTTCAGAACACGGCCAAAGAGCCTGAAAAACCCACAACAACCAACTGCCGATTTTGTACAAATAAGGATGTCACAGCAAACTGTGGTTAGCCATAAGCAGGAAGCTGACTGAGAGGCCTAGCTAGAGAGAGAAGGGGCAGCCTGTCGGTTGTCCATAAACTCCAAAACACGATTTA